GGTTCTGACAGAAACAGGAACAGATTATCTCAACTTGATTCAGGTTAAAACCTAACAAACCTCAGTCAAACCTGCTGAACTCACTGATAACCTGGAGTTCCTTCATCTCCAGAACTTTGTTGTTGATCTCAGGTGTGTAGATCCTGCTGTCCTCTAGAGTCAGATGGTTGATGGTCAAACTTCCACTTGTTTTATCAAAGTCACAGCGACCTGGAAGCAGGATCCAGATAAAGACATCATGGATGATGTTAATCTGCAGGTTCTTGGGTTTTCAAGCCAACTCACCTTTTAATTGTCCGTCACTTTGAATATCCTGCCAAGAACACTTTGAGGTCAGGTCCAATTTGTGCCTCCATGTTACTGTCTCAATAGGCTCTGAAATCTGACCTGGATTCAGAACAATGGAGCCACCAACTTTTCCATAGATCAGATCAGCTGTGAATGAAAAACAAGAACATTTTTAGTCCTTCAAGTGAACTTTTTCTGTTTCTGAGCAGCTGTAATGTTTAACCCTTTCTATCATATCTGCTGATCTACAGAACAGAGGGAAACAGGAAGTTTATTTACTTTTTTAAAATTTAAAAGTTCTGATGAAGAATAAATAACTACAACAAATCACTCAAATGAAGACGATTGAGTTGAGTTTTTAGCTTAAACTGCCAAAGATCATCTGCTGATTGATGCAAAGTCCTAAATATCTGGTTTTTAGCAAATTAATTTTATTAATTACAAACTAAATTTCTAAATCACCACCTAAATAATCATCTAATTTAATCTCCTGATGTATGTTCCAGCTGATTGTTAATAATTATACATTTTGAAGCAGTGATCATAAAACTAACTATTAGATGTCTCACATTGTGCTTCCATTGATGGTCCTGTGAGTTTAGGAGTCTTTTTTTCTAAACAAGACATTCATCTTTGCATGACAAATTTATTTGTATAGCACAATTAAGTACAAAGACAATTCAAAGTGCTTTAGATCTCTTGAAGATCACATGTCAATGACGTAAGCAAGACTGACTCCCGCCTGACTCCCCCTAGACTCTTCCTGCCTTTCAAACCAAGTTGAACACAGTGTTTTTCATCTGCCAGCTGAAGCAGATTAGGGAGCTACTGTACCAAGTTACTGCCTGGCCAGATTTTGTTTGCTGGCCCCGGAAAAGCCTGGGCCCAGTTGCTGCTGCCCAAGAAGCCACTATGAAGCCTCCAAACTGTGATCCCCTGGTTCGGCGGCTGTTAGGAGCTGCGCTTCTGCTGTCTGAGCTGCTGCTACACAGCTATCCACCTCCGCCTTTTTCAAGCCGCTGTAAATTATCAAATTAAACCTGGCAGATCTGCCTCTGTGTTTTGCATCAGAATAATTCAAGTCTCTCTGAGAGCCTCCCTTTGGGTGAGCAGATCATATTTCTAAGCAGAATCGAGCCAGACTGCTTCCCCTCCTTTACGAGTAGGACTTAACCGGTCCAAACCAAACCGAGCCGGCCAGATCCCCTTCCTTTCCACCGAGTGGACACAGTAAACCCCTTTTCCCCTCTTTTTGTGAGATGCTAAATAAGTACTCTGCTTAGAGGAGAAACATGTAGAATCCATATTTTTGCATCTGTTGTTTTATCTGAAAGAAACTTTCTGATTCAAGTGCTGACGGTTCTTTTATCAAAAATGGAGTATGGAGAAAATAATGTTGACAAAGGATGAAGTGAAAATGTTCTTAAGAGGACTTAAGGTGACATTTATGAATTTTATCTTCTTCCTCTAGAAGAAGATCTTGTTCCTCTTTTTGCCGGAAACTATTAACCTCCCACACCAGCTCAGGTGCTTTCCCCTCCAGAGAGACGGCTTCCAGGGATCAGACCGCAATGGTTCTTGCCCTTTAATGCCATTTGTAGTACATTTGCAACATGGAAAATTAAAGCCATTTCTAATACTGGGTGATTAATCAATCATTATGCTAATTAATTAATAAGTATGACCAAATATAAACTTTTAAAGCTTGACATCCGGCAGAAATGGAAACACTACACCAACGATGATCTGATACTATATCAGCATTAATCATACATACTTTTAATGCTTATTAAGAGTGGACTGATAGAAAACTTTAGATCAAGTGATACTTCTCAAACGGAGAAAAATACTTAACAAAATCAGGTATGAGAACAACAGACCCATTTCTGATTCACCAAAGAGTTATATAAACTTTAAACAAAAAAAAGAACATAGGCAAAGTTCTACTGAGTTTTCTAATATCAGATAATTTAGAGGCACACAGATATATTCTGATATTCCTTTTTTCACTGAAATCGATCTAAGATATCATTAGTGGAATGGAATAGCCCAACTAGGAATGGTTAATAAAAACTCTGAACGATTCTGGGAAATTTAACTGTTAGAACTGTTCCGATCGATTATTGATTCTTGATGTGGAACATTATTTATGAATTTAATCTTACTCTTGTAGACAACAGGATTTCTTTACATCTGTTTATATATCTATAGTTTATGCATCAAAATATAGATGTCAGCTAGCAACATAAATAAA